CTCAAAACCAGTCAAAATGACTTCCTTGGGCAATCTAGTGTTAAAAATCACAAGAGAAATCATTGTATTCACATTTTTTTAATCAGACAATTGATAATTACTTTGAATATCCGCATAATTTCTTCAACGATTCTTCGATCGATTTTCTCTCGTGAAGTCGTAATTAATCAAGGATATAATTCGGCTAATTAGTCAAAGGGAATGGGGGGCAGCGGGAGCTGAAGATACAGAGTGAAGTGGCGTAACTAATAACGTTTATGCGCCGTTAAGTTCTTCTGGTTTCTCGCGTAGCTGGGGCGAGGCAACTTGTAGGCAGGATTTGCTGCGGTGAAAGTTGCAAAGAATATTAATGCGCAGGTGGGAGAGGGTTTATGGGTTGCCGGATGAGAATGGAAACTGCGCGTACGTGTGTAAGCGAAGCCGAGCGGGGGTGGATGGAACTGATCGTCGAGTGCGAGGGAGGGCACGGATTGAAAGACGTCGGGAGACGCGGCAGGTTGGATGCAATTAGAGGAGGACGGGTTGCATCGCGAAATAAAAGCCGGATAAATGAATATCCTCGAGGTAAAATGGGTCGTAGTAAAAATAATGGGAAGATCGATGACGAGGATCTGGGACGAAGAAAGAGGAGCCGTTGTAAATCGTGAGAAACGAACGAAGGGAACAAAGGAATATTGATAGCGGTGGACGAGGGAGAGAGGGGCCGGTGGAGTCGACCGGACGAAGGAGAGACGTTCCGTTCGGGGATCGCCAGAATCCCGGAGCTACTCGTATTTCGGGGAAGCGTTTTATGCCTGGCGAATTACCGATTATGAAACAGGGAAACGTCTTCCAGTGACCCAAAGGAGATCCTCGGAACCAGGGGGAGGAGATCGAAGACGACCTGGCCGAGACGAGAGGGACGAAGGTACACGGGGCAGCGTGATCGAGAATCACCGTAGAGAGACGGAGCGCGGGCTCGGGAGCGAAGGGCTTCCGCGATGCCACGGTGGTGGGCCGCGCTGGTGACGTCACGTCGGGTCGATACTGACCCACACTCCGTTACCCGGCGTCGTGGCGGTTTCGAGGGGGACGCAGGCGCGGCCTTCCAACGCTCCTGAGCGCTCCTTCCCGCCATATTAGCCAGCATGGGGTAAGGCGAGGATGTGCGACAGAGGTGACACGGGTCTGCTCATTCTCCGGCGAGGTAATCCGCGTACCTGTGTCGCGTGTCCTGTCGCGGTGGTTACGCGTCGGCTTCGCGGCTTCGTGCAACGAGGAGACGAGCTGCCGCTGATCGAGCCGTGAAATCGGGCCGCCGGGCGGCGGGGGGGGGGCCTGGGAGAAAAGGGTGGACCGGCGTTCGCCCAGTTGCGTCGCGTTTCCTCCCGTTTCGACACCTCGCGGCACCCGTACGTATGGATAGACTCGGTGCCGGTAGAACGACGGAGCTCGACATCTCCAGGAACCTGACCGAGGACCGGAAGAGGGCCTGGACACCGTCGGCCGGGGCGAGGGACGCGGAGGGTTGCACCGGCAAGGGTGAGGAGGTCGTGACCGTCGCTGCCGCCGTCGGAGGAGTCACCGTCGAAGACCCGTCGAACAAGACCGGCTGCAAATCGGCCGCGCAAGTGTGGATGTCTTTGCTGTCGCTCTGCGACCGGATGTGCGGCTCTGCCGCGTGGCTCGTGCTCTTCACATGCCTCCACGGGGTGCGTTTCCTCGTCGCGTGAGAACTCCCGATCGTCTGTGTGTGCGTACGTGCGCGTCCGTCCGTGTGCCGGCTCGCGTGCCGTCGACGTATACGCGGTCGAACTACGTCGCGTTTTCGGCACTCCGTTCAGGGTCGTTGCGTTTCTTTCAAACTGACTCTGAACGAATCGCCGCCGGGTCTCGGAGTACGTGGGCGGTCAGCTTCCGACGATTGATACGACGTAGTTTGTACTCGTGACTCGACGTCATGTCTCTGTATTCGTTGTACTGCTTCTCGGTCCCTTTGACGATCCACCGACCGGTCTACTTAACGAGGAATTTAAGTTTCTCGCGAGCTAGAGCGAAACGCGGTCTGTGACTGATTCTAATTGAAGCAGCTCCTGTAACGAGCGATTGTTTCCCCGGGCATTGTTTGCTACTCTTAATGAGTTCCTATCGGAGTACTTCTGTCCCGCAGTTCCTCCGTGCCGAACGCCGGGACATCTGCATACCGCGATCAGCTCGAGGAAGCTTATTGCTTCCAGTTTCGCTCGAGTGTCTTTCATGGAAAACCGATTAATAGATATTTATAGAAAAGAATTTTCATATCGCCCGGTTAAGATAACCGCGGAATCAATCGACGACCTCGCCGGCCGGTAGAAAATATCTGCAAATCCGGGTTGTGCAAATTTTTGCGTACGACGTGAAATCATTGATTTTGCCACGCAGAGTGCTTTTGATTAATCAATCAATTTTAGATTTGAGTGGACAGACAGTAGTCTGGTCAGTTAACAGCTGAACAGATCAATCGATCAACTTTACATGAATTCTGATCACTGATTCACTGATTCCCGAGACGATCTCACGTGACTCCACGTTTTATTACCGCGTAGATTTTTCATCGATTTTACAGTTGCGCGAGGTAATGTATTTTTGCGTGTCTATTTTCGGCGGATGCCACGTGGATCCCCGATTGTTGGTAATTTCTCAGGCAACAGGGAGCGAGGCGGTGCAATTTTTACGAGCCTCTAATCAGCCGGCTGATTGAATCTCGCGTGCAACCGCCCGCGAAGAAATTCCCCCCCTTTCCCGTTTAGCTCTGATTTGCCGGTGCTTTTAAGCCACCAGGGAATCCGCCACGCGTTTCCATTTTCCATTATACTTCACGTTATTATTACATACTCGTACATGCCCGGTCTATGCGAATTATCTAATGCAATTTTATTAAAAAGCCTCCGTAAGAACGTTCGTACGCAAGATCGTGTTAATTAAATCAGTCCCGTTTAATATGAGATTTTCAGATTTTTTTTAATCAGACGAAGGTTTGTTCGATTATGTGAAATCGACTGAATTTGTATGTTAGATATTTAGGCTGATAATCAGCTAAATGCGTTCTTTACAAAAAGTCTGGGTCCTCTTACTAGAAGGCACCCTCACCGTCCTCTTACCAGAAGGCACCCTTGCCTTCCCCACTCCGTGGCCAGATCCTTAAGAACAATATCTTTGTTTGTCAGTGCTAGACCGTGTTTAGCTGTTTTATCTTTTCTAACTGTTTCCACGTTTCCTCGTGGCCAACGTATTTTATGACACTCGATAGCCACCCGCCATTTGGACACCACCCTTGCAAAGCCTCTTAAGACCCATCCAAGCTGGGTCCCTATCGTAAAACCATTTAAAAAGACGAGGAATTCCGGATTAACACTACATTGCCCAAGGAAGTAATTTTGACTGGTTTTGGGCAAATGTAC